TATTGACAGACTCTTTAGAGTGAGGACGCAGAACATCTTGGACCAGAAAAAAGTGAGAACAGGACAGAAAGTGCCCCTGAACAAATTTTGTTTACTGTTTGTTGTTTGTGTTTGTGTTTGTGTCTTCACTGTAAGTTATGAGACAAAAACAGCAAAACAGGAATATAGCAATCATGATCAAAACTGATGAGACAAAAATCAAACAAATAAAATGTCATCAATTTGACATTTTTTAAAAGAAATGTTGACACATTTAGAACACTCATTTGTTTCAATTTTGTGTGTTTTTTCCAAAATGTTGCATAAAGTATTCAGTGGGTGTGATGATAATGTAGCAGTAGTTTCACATAATCATGATTTAATTAGTGCATAAGAAGATTTATCACAATTAACCTAAAAAACATCTTGAGATTATTAGCGATTACATTTTTTTTAAAACTTTGCCCAACACTAATAAAAACAAAACATGACCCTCTAAATCTGRTATGSGSAACTTCAGTGATGGAAGGGGCCACAATTTTTGTTGTCACTACCAGAGGGCCACATWGCTCTTTTTAAACCACTTAAAAAATCTGCCTCATTCACAGGCTGGACGGTATGTCTGGGCCACATATTGTCCAGACAAACCGGATGATACATATCTGGCACACGGGCCGTCAGTTGCCCATCTTTGTTTGAACTCTTTCACCACAATATAATCCTATTTGGTCATRACAAACTGTAATACTACATTCATACAGCGGGTCAAAATGCTAAACTCTGATTTTTACAGAAATTATATATATATATGTATATATAATGGTTCTTAATATATCGTATTTATTCAAGTACAATACGTAAAATTTCATCCATAATATCATCCATAAAGTTGGGAGGTAGTACTATACTCAGATATTTTCACTTATGTATTTTAACCGAAATATCGGCTTCATTCACAAAATGCCTCCTTCTGGAAATGAGACTGCGTTGTAAAAAGCAGCTGAAGTGAGCTTACCTGTGACATTCCGTCATGATTCAGAGCAAGATAGTAACAGATCCAGGCAGGCGACATGATGTGAAAAAAGGGAGGACAAGGCTGTCCTGCATCTTAGTAATGATAGCGAACTAAAGACATTAGCGTGTGACCGAGCCGCTGCTGGAACAACAACAAACACATCCGTCTGTAATGGCTGCTGTCTACCGGTGTTCTGAAAAGGTTTGTATCCCTGAAAAAAGTTTCCCCACCAGAGGGGGCACTCGCGAGTAGGAAGTAATCTGCTTTTCCCCTTGAAGATGGCCCAAATCTCATATGAAGTCTCTGACCTTTGTGTTGGCACATCTTGGTGGACTATGTGTAAAATGCCTATACTGTATGTGTTGTCAAAATACCTTTTAGTAYATATGTTGTTAAAATAAAATGAACAGTCCAATTGTTATGACTTGAGTGGAGCAGAAGAATAATCAACCGCAAGAATAAAGTCAATTAATAATATTTATTGACACATAGACAGGTGGAACTCCCATTAACCTCATCCATCTGYTGTCAACTCAACAACCTCCAACCCGATTTCAACAACACTCAGGCGGACGAACCCGCAAAACTTAAGACTACCAATGTTCACTTGAAACTTATACTGCAGACTCTGTTCACTGCAGCAACATGCAACTTACCCAATGTAACACTTCAAGTAGGATCRGGTCTCAGATGTTTAAGATTAACAGCGATATGGAGTGTTTACATGGGGAAGTGATCAAAGAAACAAAACATAAGACAAACAAAAGAAAATTGTTAGTCCGCCCTTACAATATACTGTATTTATTTGTGTATAATATGATCTTATGTATAATACGACCCCCCCCCCTTTTTTTGAGCTTAAAAGGCATAAAAAATTGAATCCACAAACTACCTCCAATTTCATACAGACTTCAAGATTTTTCAGCCTTTGCAGTCTTTACACATATCAGTAAAATGATCATTGGACTGTTCATTTTATTTTAACAACATTTGTACTAAAAGGTATTTTGACAACTGTTGTGGAAATATTCCACCAGGCAGAGATACGGGAAATAAACAAAGTGAAACTGTGTGGTCTCGGTCTCAGACTATTTAATAGAAAGATGCATATGCAAGGAATGAGCAGAACTGAACAGACATGATCAAAGCATCTGTCAAGCTGACGCTGACCCGGAAACAGGAAACAGACATATATAAAACATCCTGCTAACAAAATAAGAGCCTCAGGGATATTCATGAACCAATGAGATGGTTCCAAGTTAAATAGGCCATGAGATTACAGCATCTTAAGAATCATGAGAAACGGATTATATTATGAYMGTTATCAAGAGATACAGAACAGGGCATGTCAAGGTAATATGCAGTTAGGGAGTCATGATAATCTTCYATTACAGTCCCTCCTMTTGATTATTCATTAATCAATAAAAATGGAAGGAACAATTTGTAAATCCATAAGTAACATAACTGCATCAACAAATGTAAAAGGAAAAAGTGCAATGTAAAAACAGTGCAAACAGATTCAATAAGTCAAACATGTCAAAATTTAAAGAACTTAAGTGTCCAAAATTCAACAAGGTATTACAAACACGAGTTCTGCCCCCAGCGAATTCAATTGCGTTAGCTGCTTATGTTCCATCAGAATCTTATTTTGGATAATGTGTTAACTTAATAACAACAAGTTGTCGATAAATGAACCTTAAGTAATGCAAATTAGGACAAGGCAAGTTGAAGAAATGCTGAAGGCATTTACTTCTAGCAAGAGATTGGACAAGTTCAAATAGCAAATGATAAATGAAGACCACAAAACTATATGAATAAATGTGGAAATGTCATTAAAATGTTCAAAATTTACTATCCACGCCATTCAGGTAAACTTTATTCCACCCCAAACATTCCAAAATCATAAAAATAAAAATCTAACTCTAAAATACCAGAGCAAACATAATGTAAACTCTGCAAAACCAGAAAAGTAAGTAGCTAAAAATAAAAAGAAGAAAAACATAAAAAGGAAGACACAAAATATTTTTAAGCAAAAACCACAAGGCATGAACTCAATGTATGGATTACTGGCATGAGCTGGCTTGTGCAATGAATAGAGAAAAAAACAAAAAAACAAAATTTTAACAAAAATAAAAAACCAAAAGCTAAATCTAAAAGTCTAAATAAATTAAACTAAAGAAATAGCACCCCCTCCTCTTGTTACACCTGAGCTAAGTCCCTCTGTCATCAACCAGATGCAAGACATCAATCCTCAGCGTCCTGGACCTGACATAACCCAGACGGGAAAGCAGGATATCTCATCCCTAGCTGTTGGAAAAGCCTCCGAGGAGGATCAGCTGACAATCACCTAACTTCACCAGGAGCTGGACAGAGGACAAGCACTCTAGGAAATCATAAAACAATTTAACAAAACAAACCATAAAATTAAAAAAAAGATACCAAACATCCAGAAGTGTCTCATTGTTTTCAAATTATGTTATGAGATGGGCCTCAGAAATGAACCAGGAGTAATCCTGATACCGTCCAGGAGAGGGAGCTAAATTCCAACCCTGCTATTCAGGGTGTCCACCTATCCCTGAGGAAAAATACAGGAAAACCAAACATTGCACWGACWTAATTGYATCTCAGGTAAAATAGTTAAACATTTAAAATTCACAATAATAAGCCAGTCAGAAAAACACAAATATAGTCCAATATTTTAGTGAGGGCCAGTTTATGCGTGATTGTGCAGGGGTGCATAAGGGCGAAAAATGCAAACAGTGTGGTGAAAAACACTCTCATCCAGCTACTTCTGTCTGGGTGTAAAAAACAGTTCTGTTCCCTTTATCTCATTAAGGCAAAATGTGTGTGATCGGCTGAACACACCCAAAACACAGGGCCAGAGATGTAGCTTTGTAGAAACCTCGCCCAGAGAGAGAGCAGCCGCAAATCGGCCTGCTCAAAGTGGAAATGTGATAATGTGAGAGGGATGGTCCCCCCAAAGGGACCCCCAGGAAACGCCCGTTGGAAAGGTTTGCACGAGGTTGCAGACAGCTGGTCCMAGGTGGAAATGGAGAGGGTGGGGAACCCCTGGTAAAAACAGCATTTGCCCTGCGGAAAAGCACATACACACACCCACACACCCAGAGAGRAAGCCTCSTCTTCCAGCCCCAGGAACTAAACCAGACTCTACAAAAGGTCGCAGAGCYCCACCAYCACCTCTGACCCTTCCAYATATGAAAACAGGCAGGCCTGTTTGTGTTCAAGATGATCCAAAGACTTTTGTGTGATAACTATGTTTTGGGGTTAGTAATTACTTTGGGAGGAATAAAAATTTAATTACTGGGGTTGGGATTACTGTTGAGATTACTTCCTTCTCACGACCGCCCCCTCTGGTGGGGAAACTTTTTTCAGGGATACAAATTTTTTTAGAACACCAGTAGACTGCCATCAGACGGACATGTTTGTTGTTGTTCCAGCAGCGGCTCGGTCACGCTAATGTCATTAGTTTGTTATCATTACTGAGCTGCAGGACTGCTCTCCCCCCTTTTCACATCATGTCGCCTGCTTGGATCTGCTACTATTTTGCTCTGAAGCACGAAGTGTCACAGGTGAGCTGGTTTCAACTGCTTTTTACAACGCGGTCTCATTTCCGGACTCAATAATTTTGCTGATATTTCAGTTAAAATACATAAGCAAAAATATTTATCTGAGTATAATACTACCCCCCAACTTTATGGATGATTTATGATGGATTCAATTTTACGTATTATACATGAATAAATACTGTATTGTAAAAGAAAACAAAACACAATCCGAAAACTGAGCGGAACTAACAAAAACAAAATGCTCAAAAGGACAGCAGGAAGCAGTGACAAAACTACAAAAAAGCACATAATACAAAAATTATGAAATGCTTGTGAAAACACTTTAATCAAATCACTCTAAAACAAATTAAAACACTGCATACCTGCGTTGCATAAGCCAACACTTATGAAAACACTTGACATTCCGACGGATTGAACGTAGCTCTATCTAAAAACAAAACAATATATAAAAACAAAAACATACACCACGATATAATTAACACAAAGATCTAACGCCTACCTGCAGCGTCGAACAGCCACACGCCCAGACAATGCCACACTCGGAACATCACTAAATGTGTGGCCCACAATCGCCGAACAAGGGAACGCGTGGACCCACACACACCTGGTCACACACCCACAGAAAATTGGCACTTCCCCACAGCGCCGCCAACTTCCTCTTTATAAGAATTTAGCCTARGGAAGTTGCGACCCCTTGTGGTGCCATCTGTTACATTCCCCCCCATCATTATGCATCAGCGACCCGACGATGTACTCAAGAAAACTGTCACCAAAAACCAGACAATTATTTACTCAATACAGAGCAGGGCAACCCATATGGTTTGGAATGCTGTCCCGCAGTTTTCCGAGCTGACCTCCTAAGCTCAGGAACAGCAGTTGCACCTACTTCCACAGTAGGTTCCTGGTTAGGAAGAAGCGGAACATCAGATAGTACTTCTTCATCTGCTAAATCTTCRGACTTCGGCAAACCCACAATGTCATCTTCTGCCCTGTTGTCAGCCTGCCCATCCTCCAAAACCTCATAAGACCCCTCCACCCCACCGCTTTCAGGGACACTTCTCAGCTCAACCCTATGAACCTGGCGAAGGGGTYCTTCCTGGCCCACAGTTGCCACAGTATACACTACCCCTCGATCAGGAGGTGAGCAAACTACTTGATAAGRAATTGGGTCATAAAAATCCTGAATCTTACTTCGACCTCGCACTGAGTGGTTTCTGGCATACACCAGGTCTCCTTCCTAAAAATCTGGGGCAACATCCACATCCTGATTTCTCTGAGCCCTCCTACTTTCTGTTTTTTGATGTACCAAGTCATAGGCTGCCAACAAGCATTTCTGGTGCTCTTCCACTCATTCTTCTAAGGGCAGGCCTGGATCCCCCTCATTTTCACTCGGCCCCACCAGGAAATCCACAGGCAACTGTGGTGTCCTGCCAAACATAAAAAAAGGCGTCATGCCAGCAGATTGATGAACAGTAGTATTATATGCAAACGTAACTTTGGAAACATGATGGGGCCATTTACGTTTCTGCTCAGGAGGAAGTGTTCGAAGCAGGTCATGTAAGGTGCGATTAAAGCGCTCACACTGCCATTTCCCTGAGGATGATAAGGGTTAGTGCGGCTTTTATCAATCTTATACAACTTACAGAGCTGTTGAACTAAGTTACTCTCGAAGTTTCGCCCCTAATCAGAATGAATCCAGCTTGGAGGCCCAAAAAGTTGAAACCAGTGTTTTACTAATGCTTCAGCAACAGTAGCACACTGATCTTTTGTGGGAACAGTTTGTGTAAACTTTGAAAAGACATCAGTCATTRCCAGAACATTCTCCCTCCCATCCGTGGAAGGTTCTAAAACTGTAAAATCTATTGCCAAAATCTCATTAGGTCTAGATGATTTGACCGTGCCCATATAGGTCTTAACTTTTGGCAGCAAAGCCTTTGACACCACACATCTTTCAGAGTTTTTACACCACTTCTCTATGTCTGAGTACATACCGTGCCAATAATACCATGAGCGAATCAGCTGCAAAGTGCGCTCCACCCCCTGATGGCCATGATCATCGTGGAGTGAGTGGAGGACACCCTTCATCAAACACTGTGGCAACACCAATTGCTCAACCTCAGTTTGCCCATCTGAAGCCCAAACACAACGATAAAGAATCGACTCACATTCCCTAAGCCGACTCCACTGCCAAACCAACTCCCAGGTAGCCTTCCCAAGCCCATCCCTCTCGTTAGTATTAGGCATCCCACCCCTCTCCCAGAACTGAATAAAGGGGCCGATGATCGGATCCTGATGCTGCAATGTACAGATGTCCGAGCATGCCAGAACCAGGCAACACACTGATTTCTTCCTGTACTCCAACAAACCCATCATGTAAACYAGAGGCAGCTTCTGCTCCTTTGCGTGTAGCATGTTGACGAGACAAAGCGTCAGCACTGGCATTTTGAGAGCCTGGACGATATTTCATCTCTAAATCAAATGCTGCCAGTTCGGAAACCCACCTCTGCCCTGTGTCTCCAAGTTTTGCTGTAACCAGATGACTTAATGGATGATTATCTGTAAAAACCGTGCATTTGTTACCTAACAAATACTCCCGAAAAWTTTCAGTAACAGCCCATTCAAGAGCAACCAGCTCTAACTTCATAGAGCTGTAGTTATTCATGTTCCACTCTGTGGGCTTTAAACTGTGATTCGCAAATGCTACAGGGCTCAATTTACCCCCRTGCTCTTGAGAGAGTACTGCTCCTAACCCTTCGTGACTGGCATCCACTTCCAAAACAAATGGCTTCTGGAAATCTGCATAAGCAAGAACAGGAGTGATAATTAATGCAGCCTTGAGCTTCTGAAAACTCTGCTCACACTCCTCATCCCAGAAACCACAAAAAGACTTCCTGGGTGTTTTACCCTTTTTCGCAGGAGGAAGCAGCTTAGCAACCAGACAATTTAAAGGGGCTGCCATGTTTGAAAGACCACCAATAAATCTCCGATAATAACTGGCAAACCCCAAAAATGAGCGAAGCTGTTTCTAGGTACCATGGGGGCCCCGGGCAGAAGGGACAACTGGGGCCCTGTATACACCACATCCCACTTTCAAATAAAGATATATTAATCAAAGTCATGCAAAAGTATTATGATATGAACAACAACAACAACAATTGTTATTATTATTATTATTATTATTATTATGCAGGTTATGTGTCATTTACAGCACAATATTTCAAGAAATGTAAACATTAATTTCATTTAGAAACATTGTTTATTTGCATGGGGACAGGTATGTTTGTATAAGGTCTCAAATATGTACAAGGTTGTACACAAAAACATTTATAGCCTAGGCTAATTTGCAATTCCAGTCCCTAGCAACTTAAAAATTAAACAGTTAAAAATACAGTGTAAAAGAAAANTTTTCCAAGAAACAGTCAATATCCTTATCTGATGGATTTATTTGTGATGTGTATAAATTTTTATAGAATTCCCTAAAGATACTATTTACTTTTCCCTGATCATAAGTTGTATTCCCAGGTACGTCTTTAACACCAGATATAGTCATTTTTTCTTTATTTATTTTGAGTTGGTTAGCTAAGAAGCTTCCTGATTTGTTATTATTTTCAAAGTGTTCTAATCTGAGTCTTTGTATGAAGAATTTTTTTATCAATAAGTTCAWTCAATTCTAATTTTGCTTTTCACATTTTTTGCTCTATTTCTTCTCCTTGCAGAGTTTCTAACAATTCAGTGGACTTCTCTAGTTCCTGAATATGTTTATTTTCACTTTTCTTCTTATTGCTTGAAAATGATATTATTTTGCCTCTCATTACTGTTTTTCCTGACTCCCAAAGAGTAGATGCTGATGTTCCTGGTAAATCATTACACTCTAAATATGAGGTCCACTCTTTTTTAAAGTATTCTATAAACTGTTCATCCTTGAGCAGTGATATATTTTATCTCCAGTTTACACTTTTTGGTATTTCTTTCCTATTATCTAGAGCTAAAGAGACTGGTGCGTGATCACTGACAGCAATCGGGTATATCTCACTGTCCGAAATGTTGGTTAGTAATGAACTGCTGACTAAAAAATAATCCAAACGAGAATAAGAATGATGAACGTGTGAGAAGAACGTATATTCTTTGCTGTTAGGGTGGAGAGAACGCCAYGCATCGCAAAGTCCATAATCCCGTCCTGMTTATCCTGTAAAGATCTTTTAGCTTGTTTAAGGTTGTTGACTATTTAATATGTGCAGGATGTGCGCGCACGTTATGCACGTCAAACGCTTCAAAACGAAACACGCCGCAGCACTTCCTGACGCCTCTTGATGGCTCGTCCATCATAGACCTTGCATGTAAACCTGACMCTCAAATCACAWTTGGTCCGAACACAGCATTATGGGAAAACACAATAGATAAAAGCTTAAGAGACACAAATACATGTTCAAGTACTAGGAAAAACAAAAAAATACATGTGTTTAAAAACAGTAAAATTTAAATTATGTGCTTAAATAAAACATTTGCTGGAACTAAGGTGTAAAAA